TGGAAACGATGCATGCTGACAGTGACGCAAGTCAATAGATTCACAGCAAGTATAAGATTGGTGTCTCAGATTAGAGGAGGACCCCACCGATTTCAGTGCGATTACATGTCTGACAAAGGAGACTGAGGATTTGGGGGGTCAGGCTCTGTGTTAGGATTACAGATTTGGCTCTGACTGTGTATAATTATTATGTAACAAGTTGTGACAATGCTTTGGTGTGTGATTATATCACCTCCAGCAGAGTTTGGTTAGTGAGTATTGTAGGAGGCCAAAACCTGAAGGAGCGAAACCACCCAAGATGTAAAATAGAAAGAGCTCTGAAAGGCACAGCTTGGATAGCTTTATTGTTGCTATGAAATTGAATATGTGCATAAAAATAAGAACAACAAGCGTAAAGTGTTTACTGGGCTCTTAAGAGACGTGTTTATAGCTCCTGGCAGACATAGAAACGCTCTCACACATGAGCATCACACTGTGAGTCAAGCGGAAACTAAAATTATATCCAGATCTTCTTAAGTCTGCCTTGGAATGGTTAAATGGGGGAAAATACAAATGTTTGAGAACCAGACTGAGATTAATTTCATCTGAAGAGTTTCATTTTCTTCATGAGTTGTCTGATTCATTGTCACATATAGTTCCCATTTGCTTGGTTGGCTAAGCTTAGCCTAAAATCCTAAATATACTTACAAGGAAACTCCATTGAAGCTTTTTCTGCGTAAATGTGTAAACTAGGAGCAGCAGTGATTAATTAGCACCCCTCAAATGGAGGCAACTGCTTAGTACACTTCTCTGCTTATGTGTTTGAGCAGGCCTTGCTGACCGGAACTAAATCCAGTCAAAAGTGTTTGCTTTGTTATTATCAGGAAGGCTTTAGGGATGTAATGGCAGAAATTTCAAGCACAAACTTATGAAAAAAAATCCCAATATGGGTAGCACCAATAGAAGCATTTTCATTTAAAACCTTGAACCAGAAAGGAAGGTTAACCACATATGAAAATCTGCTAACAAATGAGTTGGAGATAAGGGCCAGCTCTAACCTATGTAAACTGCTTGTTCAAGAGGTATCCTTTGATGTGCTTTGGTGTGGATTTGATAATAACATTCATGATGCTACTTATTTTTGCATAATGCATGTTGTTCTTCCTTGCAACCTTCTCTAGACTCCATATTTAAGCCTACCAATATTTTGGGAGCACCCTGCCCATCTCTGGCATGAGGTCCTGAAAAAAAAGGGGATGGTGGTCCCTATCCTATTTTGTTCCCATAAAATGTCAGATGCATTGAAGGGGAGGAGAGGTTTCACTTACTGACTGCCTGTCAACTCTGCAGCACTTAGTAGCCACCATTCCTATGTGTTTTGGAGATGCAATTGTGCTGGTAAACTCACACAGGCCTCTTCCACTTGATGGTGGGTGGGGGAGGCAAAATCCAGGACCACTTAGAATCATATCTTGCTTATAGTTGTTCTATGAAGCAGAAGGCTTGTTTGGCTCCTCGTATTGTGTTATGATTCCTCTGAAACTCTGAGATGAAAAGGGGGTATATTATAAAGAATGGTAGTTTCCTTATAGTAACACGATCCAATTAAAGTAACAGCGACAAACTGCCATACAGTATTTTTGCACCAACCCATATTAAAACTAAGTTTAGAGTAAATCAGAAATGGAAGCTTTAAATCCCTTGTAGGAAAAAGAGTAGAAACTCTCTTCTCTTCTAACAGCAAAGTGTACCTAATAAACCATTTGCTAATTACTTTTAACTAAGTTAAATTTTGCTTTTTTCTGTTTTTGTTTTCTGAGGGACAATATGTGAATTAAGGGACTATTCTACTTGAGGAATTCAAACTTATGCATTACATTGCTAAAGGTCTGGTTTAATGAATATATTCTCATTACTTAATTTGTACTGTACTGGTTTCTTCATTAGACTTCTGTATTCTAGCACCCTTCTAGCTGTATCAACCCTTAAAATAGCTAATGTGCTGAAATAAATGTCCTGAAGTCCAGGGCAATCCAAAAGATCCACTCCACACAACCATCCCGTATTTAAAATGTAGATAGTTGTTTTTTACGCATACAGTTTTTAGAGGTATCTTATAAACATCAACCACTTCTTCTAGATCCACTTTTATTTGGTGTTAGAGAGAGATGTATCTTTTGACTTCCTTTCCATGAGTAGAAACAGTGCAGTTATTCTGTTCTTGCTTTCTTTTTTGTTTTTCACTTTTAAAGAAAAAAAGAGTTGTAACATATATATTTTACATTCTTTTTCCAATTGTTGGCCAGAATGAATTAAGGTTCTTCTGGTTTAATGCCATTCCAAAGGTTAGCACTGTCAAAATGGCATATCATTCTCAGGTTTTGAAAAGGCCAGTTACTTTCCAATACTGTTGCTTTTAAAGGGGAAAAATATCAGCATCGGGCCTTCTAGCTGAATAAGTACTTGAGGAAGTTTGAGAAAGCTAAGCAGTGTGGAACTGGAGGGTGTGAGAGACACAGAAGTGACAAGATGGACTAAGAAACTTACTAAATGCTGTAGAATAAAAGTAATTTAGGTTTATCTAAATACTATAATGGGATTTGTGTAATCTAAACTAAACAGTTAACATTTTTGAGTAATAAAATGTATACATACGATTGTATTCATTTTAGAGTTGTATACAAATGATCTTTTTTCTTTCTAATGAAAGAAATTAATTTAGGGTCAGAAAAGGTAAAGCAGAAGGTAGGACGTTGAGAAACAGACAAATGAAGACACTGTTTAGTCCATCATATAAACATCAGAAGGGGATGGTTAACAATTGGGCATTCATTTTGAGCTCAGCAGATTAGCAAGGTGCCAGACTTTTTAAAATGTTCTTAGCTAAAATTACCTAGCCACAGAATGAGGTTGCCTAAAGTTTTTTTTTTTCTGATCCTTTTTTTGTAGCCCAGTTTATGTGAATTCACCGAATCTGCCAGAAAGCAGATTGCAAGTTCACACTTCCTCATATGGTGAACAATCTGTTCTTTGTAGAATATGTTCTGATTTGACTTTCCTTTTCCACTTTTACTTTTCATCACTATGAGTTAATTATGCATGCTAGGATGTCTGAACCGCTATTCAACTATTTTGGGAGAAGAGCCGGCCTGTGTAGCCTTGTGGAAGCTGCACAGTTCCAAGGTGCCCCCGCAAAAACCACTTCTGAGTACTCTATAATTCGAAAACCCTGGAATAGGTCACCACAAGTCAGAATTTACCTGACACAACACAATTATCATTAATATTGTTGAAGGAGTGGTTGGAAACTACCCTTTCATGAGCACTTTTCAGGATTTACTCTGGATGTCTTAGGGCATAGAAAAAGGAAAGCATTGTCCTAACTGTCACTCGTTGTTCGTGGAATGTCCTAAAACTCATTCAAGTTTCTGTGGTTTGGCATTACAGAGGCAGATGAGTAGTGATCACAGAGCTGCTTTTTAATTGTTTTCTTATTAAATCCAAAGGATCTCAATCTTCCCTGACAGGACAAAAAGTATATTAGAAATAATGCTGTATTTAGTGGTGTGTTTTGGTTGATGTACAGCCCTTGTAAAGCTGTCTAATATTTAATAGTTGATACATAATGCATTGTTTTTTTAAAAAATTAACTTATAAGCTATAAGTACCTGAATTTCAAATTTTGAGTTAGAATTCTACATTTGCAGTGTGTTTTGAGATTTGCCTTTATTACTATTCCTTTTTTTAAGTCATTCCCACCTCCACTCCATCAATACTGGAACAGCAAAGTTAAACTATGTGTGGGCATTTATTTCAGCTCTAAGCTGATTCAGACACAATGGCCAAAATACTGTTGCTCAGCATAATAAAACACTACATCTTTACTCATGTGGTAAGATTCTGAGCATCCAATTAGTTGTGAAATTACCATAAAGATCTATAGCTTTCTTCCAGAACCTGGATTTTTTTTAAACTACATCTCCCAAAATTTCCCACCTACTATGCAGTCTTTGTGATATAACATCAGATCATTTTTTTTATTTGCACATCTGGCTTGATGGACAGTTTTGAGAGACAAAGAACCTATTTACCATATAGAGACATTTTGGTCAGTCTTAATAAATGCGTTACCTGTGGGCATGGGATTTTAATTTTCTTAAAGAGCAAGAGTGCTTTTTGTGTACTGTAGAAGGTGCGAATTTAAAGATGTCAAATTCAGGCGGTAGCCCCCTGCTCAGTATTCAGTAGTTTTTCAATGCCAATTCCATTTTCAATTGCCAACTACTACAAATAGAAGTTGTGACCAAATAAAGTTAAAGTCTGCATTTGGATATAGGAAACGTCTGTTTTTAAATTGAAAGCATGCCTCACCTTAGCTCTCAGTACCTAAATCAAAGTCTTAATTTATTTAACCTACTGAATTGTTAGTTTGTATGGTTCTCCATTTTCTTTACAGATAGCATAAAATTGATTGGTAAGCACACGTCAGGAAGTAGGCTGGATCTTTATGAGGTGTCAGAAGTTTAAAAAAGCTAAGGCTAGCCTCTTACATGTTTGTTAATTTCACTTGGGCATCTAATAATGAGCATTAACGTAATTAAGATTGGCTGTTTGTTTCCAGAGACTCCACGGGCAGTCACACTGCTTCGAAACATGTAGGAATGAAAACCGTTCTTTGTGAGCAAAAAGTCCACTTATGAAACTGAATTGTCAAACACAAATAGCAGTTTCTGTGCTTCATTAATTTGATGATTGGCTACAATGGAGCCTGTGTGCTAAAGAACTCTGTGGAATAAGGAGGAAATGTATAATTTGGACTCTATTTAACTATTTACTGGTTCATAGTAAGGAAATTCATTTGGATCAGTACAGTTTTTCTCTTAAAGAAGTGACTTAAAATGGGTTTGATTTTAAAAAAAGCTTTTCTTAGTCAGTGAGCCTGCTTCAATATCCATTGTCTGTAAGATGCTATTAATTTTATGTAGCTATTTGTTAAACTCTTTATTGTGTTTCCTTTACAGAGCTGCACAGAAGTTGAACTTGTCGTCCAAGAAAAAGAAACATAGACCTTCTACATCCTCTGTTTCTGAATCTCATCTGTTTACTACGAAGTTTAGCACTATCCTGCAGACTTCTCCTCCACCTGCTCCACCATGTTTGCTGAGAGCTGTCAACAAAGTGAAAGACACTCCTGGTTTGGGCAAGGTAGGGATTAACCTGTAACTGATATTTATTTAACCATTATTTACTTTTTCTTATTAGGGAAGAAACCTTTGTATTCAGAAGATGGACAGTTATGTTATATTTTATGCAGAAAACTTGCATGTTATCCTTATACTAGGGCTACTAAGTGTATTCTAAAATGAATCTTTATAGTACATTCTATATTACTATAATTTATTGAGTTCTGTGGAATATTATCCTAAGTCCTACCCTGAAGTGGACGATGTAGGAATTTTGCCTTACAGATGAACAGCAAACAAATTTTTCTAAACAGACATGTGCCACACGTCAGATTTTTCTTTTGACTTATTACTGAGATTTAAAAGCACTTTTATTCACACTTTATGGTGTGAATACAACCAATGCTGAGCATTCACTTGATTTTCATATTTCATGTTATTGACTGCATTCGTATCCCATCTTTTTTCCAAAAGCCATTTACATCGTTAAGTTACCGGGGGGGCGGGGAGGAAGAACCATCACAAAATACAACAAGCACTTTCCGAGGAGATTGGTGAGATATGTTGTTTAGGTTGGGCATCTTCGCCTGTTTCTTTCATCAGGATGCACAGATCTTTTTGTAGCCTCCAACAAGGTCAGTGGACAGCTACCAGCAGCCCATGGTCTGAGTAGCACAGCACCACTTCCTCCTACTTGTGTGGAATGAGACCTTCCCCCATTACATCCTGTCACAACAGGTTGCCTGTTGAGGCTGCCTCAGCAGTTATCTGAGATTCTAGATGGACTCTTTAGGGGATAATAACTCCCCAGCCTGTGGAACATTAGAGGGGAAAACTATGGAAACTGTCAGGCTGAGGAAAAACTTCAAATCCTCGAGTTTTAGCTGTACTCCTAAAAGGTTAGTGTGAACATTACAAATTAGTAATACATTTGGCAGAAAACTGTGAATGGCTGTGGATGAACCATCCATTGTGAACTCATTTTCGTTTTCATTAAATTCAGGAATTAAATCAGAACATCTGTCTGCTCTTACTACCAAACTCTTTGTTTGGTTCCCTTTGGGAAGAGCCTTTGTAAAATTATTTTTAGGGTGCACAAGAGGGTACTTATTTCCTTTCACAACAATTTATCAGAGATATTATGGAAAGGACATGTTTGAAGAAATGAAACAGAAGCTTCTCAAATGATAGGATGGTAGAAACAATGCTTAATTCATGTAATCGGCAGTTTCTAGCATACATTCCTGCTTTCCTCCGTGTGTCTTGAAGTTACCCTGTCTTTATGACCTAAAGCTCATATAATTTCATTTCAGTGTCTCATTATTTTACATTTGCAGCATGTTGTATATTTTAATACATTAGAGATAGGACTATGGAATGTATGTAAATAATTGCAGATGAAAAATGTGCAGTTGAAATTTAAAGGACACAAAAGTTACAGTATATAAAAAAATTCAAGCATGGTCAAACGGTAAAATAATGATAATAGCTTACTCGGGCATATGCATACGTAGAGTTGATATGAAGTGAAGAAAATGAAGGGTTTAAATTCTCATTTAAATCAGTGGCTGTCTCACAGATGCCACTGATTTATGTATATTTCCTTTAGTTTGCATCCTTTAGATCCTGTACGTTGTGCAACTCTTCATTCTCTTTTCAAATGCAAAGATGGGAAATGTTTCTTTTTGGACTAAAACACTCCAAATACTCCAGCTAACATGCCCCCCAACTAATTTTCTAATCTCTGTTCAAATACACATATTTTTATGAAATTAATTTCATTTATTCAGCAATGTGTCCTCTTCCACATGCAGAGTTCTTTAGGTAAAGGTTCCCCTTGTCATTTAGTCCAATCATGTCCGACTCTAGGGCACGGTGCTCATCCCCGTTTCCAAGCCATAGAGCCAGTGTTTGTGCAAAGACAGTTTCCGTGGTCACGTGGCCAGTGCAACTAGACATGGAATGCCGTTACCTTCCTACTGAGGTGGTACCTATTTATCTACTCACATTTTTACATGCTTTCAAACTGTTAAGTTGGCAGGAGCTGGGACAAGCAGAGTTCTTTACATGATTTTAAACTAATGAATCATATTTTACGTGTGTATTACGTATCATTAATGCAATTCCAACTTGTGGCAATCCTTGCCAGGTTTTCTTAGGTACCGAGTACTCAGAAATGGTGTGCTGACCTTTTCTCCTGCAGATGCTCTGATCATGCATCTTGTCCAAGTCACATGAGCTGGCTCTTCTCCCAAGAGGCACAATGGAGAATTGAATTCCTGACTCTGGCTCCTCAGCTAGGTACTCCCAACTCACTGAGATATCTGGCCGGCATCATGTAGTTACTTAAACTGAAGCCAGCTCTTTGTTTCTTGCCTTAGTTCCTAAGGCCCTTTATACCTAGTGGTTGCAAGATGTGCAAATGCTTTGGTAGATGCAGAAGAAGGGTTCCAGTGGCAGAGAGCTATTATTGTGCATTCTTGCCTGCATTTGGAATGGGTGAAGTTTCATCCATAGATGCAGTGAAAAGAAACCTTCGTAGTTACTTAAACTGAAGCCAGCTCTTTGTTTCTTGCCTTAGTTCCTAAGGCCCTTTATACCTAGTGGTTGCAAGATGTGCAAATGCTTTGGTAGATGCAGAAGAAGGGTTCCAGTGGCAGAGAGCTATTATTGTGCATTCTTGCCTGCATTTGGAATGGGTGAAGTTTCATCCATAGATGCAGTGAAAAGAAACCTTCACCTGTAGTGTAGTTACACTTCAATTCACCTGTAGTTGTGTCCATGCTGTAGAGGGAAATATATCCCTTTTATGCACACTTCTTGGAAAGCATTTTTACAAAGGTTAAACATCAAAAATGACCCTAAGACATGTGATCTGGGTTTAAGCAAAAACAGTATATATCTAAGGGTTTACAATATTGGCTGGTGCTAAAAATTATGCTGCGTCACACTGCTGATGTTATCAGCTGTGGTGTTTTTTTTAAGTGTTTCTGATTATAAACCCGCCCCCCCCCCAAAAAAAAAGATACTGAGGCTCCCAGGGAATCCTTTTGTCATCCATAAGTCATTGAACACCATGAGATGAGGGCAGTCTATATCCCTTTTATGCACACTTCTTGGAAAGCATTTTTACAAAGGTTAAACATCAAAAATGACCCTAAGACATATGATCTGGGTTTAAGCAAAAACAGTATATCTAAGGGTTTACAATATTGGCTGGTGCTAAAAATTACGTTGCGTAACACTGCTGATGTTATCAGCTGTGGTGTTTTTTTAAGTGTTTCTGATTATAAACCCCACCCCTTATGCACACTTCTTGGAAAGCATTTTTACAAAGGTTAAACATCAAAAATGACCCTAAGACATATGATCTGGGTTTAAGCAAAAACAGTATATCTAAGGGTTTACAATATTGGCTGGTGCTAAAAATTACGTTGCGTAACACTGCTGATGTTATCAGCTGTGGTGTTTTTTTAAGTGTTTCTGATTATAAACCCCACCCCCAAAAGGTACTGAGGCTCCCAGGGAATCTTTTTTCTCATCCAGAAGTCATTGAATGCCATGAGATGAGGGCAATCTTTTATTACAGAGAATCACTGCCACCAGTAAAATCATCCCTGTGGCAGACATTTTTTGTAATTAAAGACTCCTCTGCCCCAGCTTATGCTCCTAATGGCTTCCTGATGACAAAAGGGATTTCACAGGAGCCTCAGGATCTTTGGGGGGATTGGACATATTTTGTTTCCAAAAAAATCACTGCAGTTCATAACTTCATCAACTTTACGCGAGGTAATTTACAGAATGATGTTTCATTTATTTGGAGGATTTTTCAGAATAATCAGTAGGTACTAAACTGCACTTGTGTAGCACCTTTCTGATTTAATTGTTGCTTAGGACTGAAGCATCTGGATATCCATTCTTAATATTTATTTGTAAAGATTCTTGCTATCTCGTACAGTTTCAGAGACATTAAGGAGGCTCCTTCTACTGTCCTAAGTAAGCTAGCTCTGGTTACTAGTCAGAACTAGAGTAGACCCATATATCCCAGGGGACTTACAAAAGTATTGGCTTAACAAATCTCATCTAATTATTTGCTCTACTCTAGCTCAGGCTAGAATTCTATTCTAGCTCAGGCTAAAATTCTATTCTAGCTTAGGCTGTTGTTTTTGAACAGGTTGAGTGTAGGACAGTTCACAGAAGAGTGCAGCCTAAAGTGTCAATTTTGCTGTTTCTTGTTGACCTCCTCTTAAGGGGAAAAATCCTCTCAGTCTCACAATGTGGGGATTGCACTGCTTGTACCAGCATTGCCAATGCACAAGCAGTATTCTCCAGAAAGAAAGCTGCCCACCTCTTAAGCAGTGAGGTTTTCACAAGCAGTAATATCCAGCATTGTTGCAGTGGTGGGACTTCTGGTCACTTGAAACTTAGTACATTATTGGCCCATTGGTGTATTTTTAAAATGTACTGACACATATGAAAAATAACAGATTGCTTGTTGTTAGGTATCTTGTGTGACTGTTTTTTGTGTAACTGTCATTAGGTACTTTGTGTGACATATTGAGATTTGTTGGAGGATGAAATAATTCTTCTCAAGTACATCTGCCTTTAACAGCACATTAAAGGTGACAATAGAGCTGATGAGATTGCTTCATTATTTTTTTACCTTAATATAACTTTCACCGCTCTGACACCATACTCACATTACTTTTTAATGGAGGTGCTCCAGTGTCAAATGCAGTACTGCAGCTGAGACTCAAAAATCCTGATGAGGGAACAGTGAATGAAGTAATGTACACGTCACCTATCTTCCATGAACCTTCCAGATCAATTCCCAACCAAATCCAATTAAAGTAAGAAATGTGTATAGCATTATGAGCTATATATAGCAGAATTGGTTTAGAATTGGTTTCAAACTCACTAATACAAATCTCTGCATACTCATCTACTCCACAGATAATTTCACTTGTACAATTAGTTGTGACAAGAGCAGGATTGCAGAAAGATGTTATCATGAATTCCCAT